TGGACCCACCTGTGCACGAATTCATTCACCAGGCCTCTAGTTTTTAAATAAAGCAGAATGTTTCCTCCAGCCCTGTTGTGAAAGAAGCAGGGGGAATTTGAAAATCGGGGTGATGTGCCCAAGTGCCCCAAATGGGGGGAGGGGAGGTACTAAGGTGGCTGTTAGTGAGATACTAAGGTGGCTGTTAGTGAGATACTAAGGTGGCTGTCTTACCAGGAGCCCGAGTCTATCTTTGCTCAGGGAGTAAAAACTACAGCCCCTTGCTGGGCTCCAACTGCCTCCAGGGCCACCGACTGCTGCCAGAGCCTGTGGAGGAGGGAGCAACTCACAGACACCTGTTATGATTTGGTGCTTTTACATGATGACTCGTTTAATCCCGATGCTGACCTGGCGTTAGGCATCGTTACCCCATTTCCCTGGGGAGTAAACTGAGGCTCAGAGAGATGAGGCAACTTGCCTACAGTCACACAGGCCTCAACAGGCAGGGCCTGGATTTGAACTGAGGTCTGTGTAACTGCACGGTCTATGGCCTTTCCAATGCCCCGGAAACAATTCTGGGGAGAAAAGTGAGGTTCGCTTTGAACACAGTGCAGCTGATCCCAGACAGAAGGGGGACAGGCCCTCCTTCACAGGCTAGAAATGCCCACACAAGGACTGATCTCTTATGGGAGTTCCCCTGCCTCACCTGCTGGCCTCAGGCCGAGCCACTGCCCAGTCTGGCCCGCCTGCCCCTCCTCAAAGCGAGGACCCAGCAGACAATGTCACCCAGGTGAAGAGAGGGCCTTTAGCGTCACCTGCTGGAGATACAGTAACAGCATCTCCAGTGACCCCTGCATCTCCGGAGTGCATTGTCCCTGGCCACTGAGGAGACAGGTGAGACAGGACAAAGGGCAGCAAGAGGGGCCAGAAGTTTAGCTCCTACACTTGAGCCTATAAACACGTGTGGGTATCGCTCCTGCCAGAAACCTTAGAATTTGCAGCTAGAAGGCTCAAAGCAGGAGCCAGACCTCACAAGATGGATAGATGAATGGATGGATGGATGCTATGCTTGATCTGAACCAAAAGGCTGAGAAGTAATGGATGAATGGATGGATGGATGGGCGGATGGATGGATAGGTAGATGAGTAAATGGATGTTTGGATGGATGAATAGATAGATGGATGGGTGATGGATTGGATGGATGGATAGATGGATAGGTGGATGACTGGATGGATGGGTGGATGGATGGATAGATGAGTAGATGGATGGGTGAATAGATGGATAGGTGGGTGAGTAGATGGATGAGTGGATGGATGAACGGATGGATAGGTGGATGAGTAGATGGATGGGTGAATGGGTGGATGGGTGAATAGATAGATGGATGGATGGATGGATGGATGTATGGATGGATGTATGGATGGATGGGTAGGTGGAGGCATGTCTACTGCTAAGGGCCAGGCTAGGAGGAAGATTGGCTAATTGTTGTAGCACAAAAGCAAAGCAATCCTATATAATAAAAGCCTAGTATGCTAAGGGTCCGACAGTTCATTTGACTGTTCGACTAGTCGCTGTGACATGCACTGACCACAAGGGGGCAGATACTCCAACTGGTAGGTTGGCTTGCTGCTGGGGTCCGGCTGAGACTGAGTGAGTCGGACCTGACACGCCCTGGAGCCCTCCTTGGTCCCTCCCTGAACCTAATTGTGCACCGGTGGGGTCCCTCAGCCTGGCCTGTGCCCTCTCACAATCTGGGACCCCTCAGGGGATGTCGGAAAGCCAGTTTTGGCCCAATCCCCACAGGCCTGGCTGAGGGACCCCACCAGCACAGGAATTCGTGCACCAGGC